CCTTAAAGTTTGTCGACGTAATCCTGAAACACCCTGTATATGTAATTTAAACTGTGATTGAAAAATGATCGACGATTTCTTTGACACGTTTGGCATTGACTCAATACATATGATACACAACATTTTTATTTATAAATAAGTGTGTTTTAATTTACATATGAACAAATTTTTTCCCTAATTTGCCTCATTAGTGGGAACATTCTTTGCCGACGTGTCTTAAATCATTATTGAAATTTATGGACGTTTATTGAATATCTGCTAATATTTTATAAAATATTTTAATTTAATAATAATGCGGTAAATGGGATTAGAATGTATTAAAATGTTAAATTTATTACCAGTCTCTTACGCATATATACGGTGTGCCAAAAATGGGAACATGATTATCGTTGTTCGTTTTCATTTGTGTACTAAGTTTTCATAACCGAAATTTTTCCAATTTTTTTTATAAGCTTGATACGAACGAAATCTTTTCTACCCACGACCTGCTTTTTTTTCGGAAAAATCACTTCAGAGATATTTTTATTAAAAATTTGGCTACGTAGTAATTATTTATAACACAAAATACTGTTTTTAGAAAATCTAGGCTCACGCTTCAGCTTAAAAATCTAGGAGGCTTTGAAAATGCCTGAAGATGAAAAATCTGAGCCTGTTGAATATGTCTATACATATTAGGGAGGCCCAAAAAAGAAACGAATTTTTTTTTCGTGCCTCTCGTGGAAATATGTTAGTTTATCATGTTTTAAGGGCTCCCTCAAAAAATCAGCTCAAAAAAAATTTTTTAGAGGTCGCTCAAGATTTTTAAAAATTTCCAAAATCGTCAAAAAATGATTTAAAAAAAAAATTTTTTTTCTCGTTATTTTATCATTTTCTAGGTTGAAAAAAATCTAGATTCTGAAAATTTCAAATCGATATTTTAATTTCTAAAGGTCACTCATAATTATTTTAACTTTAAAAGTAGTGTACCTAAAATGTTTCCGAGCGACCTCTAAAAATAAATATCAACGAACTAATAATTTTTTTTATTGAATTTGATGAAAAGAATAAAAATAAATCACGACACTTAAAAAATTTCGCGAGGCAAAATTTACTACCGAACTGTGAGTATTGAATATTTACAATTTTTTAATTTTTTAAAATTTAAATAGCAAAAAAAAATCAATTTTTGACGATTTTGGAAATTTTAAAAAATCTTGAGCGACCTCTAAAAAATTTTTTTTTGAGTTGGTTTTTTGAGGGGCCTCTTAAAACATAATAAACTAACATATTTTCACAAGAGACACGAAAAAAAAATATTCGTTTTTTTTTTGGGCCACCGTAATCCATATATAAATTATTTTCGTAATTTTAGTCACAATCTAATATTTTCACAACTTTAGACTCAGTCTTCATAACTGACTAATTTTTAATCTACTGGCATTTCCAAAGCCTTCTAGGTTTTTAAACTGTAGCAAACATATTCTGCATTGAGAAATTTTGTGTTTTCATTTTCAGGTATTTCCAATTTCTTTGCCAGGTTCTTAAAGTGAAATGAAAATTTAAAAAAGTTTGAAATCCGTATGAAAAAAATTTCAGCATCGATAAAATTTGAGATGTAGGGGTGTAAGTGATGCTATTTAAGGATGCAATTAATCATTGCTTAAGATAGACATCTGCAGCTGCAAATTATGATAGATCTATAATTTATGTCAACTAATGCAACTGCAATAAGAAATATGCTCCAAAATGGAGCAATTTCAGTTGATGATTTTGCAGATATTTCATCTTCATCTTAAAGGATCCANACATTCACTTTTTTCCTAACTCTTATAGTTTCATGGCAAAATTGATTTTTCGGAAGGGTGCTTCTGGATTCTGTCGATAAATTTTAAAATGAACCTCAACAAAAATTTTCGAATAGGCTGCTGACAAGCAATGTTAATTTGACGTTTTAAATGTTATTTTACGAATTGTTGCATAAATTATCCATTAGATAAAGAGTTCAAATTAATAATAAAAATAATTTTAATAATGCCGTCCATATTTTCGAACAATGAATATGCTGATATGGTCTTTGTATATGGTTTTTGTGATGGAAACGCCGTGAATATGCAGTAAGATTTCCTCATCGCAGACTACCAGCGAAGGTATTCCAACTTATGCTGATGGACATTTTGCCGCACTTCAGGACGAAGTAAGATCGAATACTATTTTAAACCATTTCGATGAAAATCCATCCTCGAGTGTCAGAAGATCTAGCTATGAGCTAGGTATTTCGTCAAGTTCCATTTGGAGGACTCACATTAGATGTTAGGTACTTAAATATTTCTATTGTTTTCATCATATTTTTTTTTTCTAAAAAAACCACCCTATATCTCAAAAACGAAGCATCTCCTAAATAATTTTAATACTATCGTTCAAACCCAAGGGAAGGGGAGACAAAAAGGCTTATTTGACTTACACGTACGCGAGACTAAGACCAATTTTAATAGGTACTATATTTTTTTAGGTTCTATGAGGAACGTCTTCATAAAGTTTATCGACAGAATCCAGAAGCACCCTTCCGAAAAATCAATTTTGCCATGAAACTATAAGAGTTAGGAAAAAAGTGAATGTACACTTTTTATCGATAACAAACTGTCCTATTTAAAAACAACATTATTTTTTATTTTCAGTAGGGCCGTATTAATTTTTTTTTTATAATTTAATGAGTCCCCATAACTCCGTCACTGGTTTCTTGCAGGACTTCTACTTCTATAGAAAAATGGTATCTTATTAGATGCGTCATGCCAAATTTGGCTTAAATAGCCTTCTTCATTTAGAAGTTATTTAAAAAATTCGAATTTAAAAAAAAAATCATTCGATTTCTAAAATGAAGCGTCTCTGGAAAAAAATTTATACTTCATTTTTTTCTTATTTTTTTTTTATGAGGAATATCTCCTTAAAGTTTGTCGACGTAATCCTGAAACACCCTGTATATGTAATTTAAACTGTGATTGAAAAATGATCGACGATTTCTTTGACACGTTTGGCATTGACTCAATACATATGATACACAACATTTTTATTTATAAATAAGTGTGTTTTAATTTACATATGAACAAATTTTTTCCCTAATTTGCCTCATTAGTGGGAACATTCTTTGCCGACGTGTCTTAAATCATTATTGAAATTTATGGACGTTTATTGAATATCTGCTAATATTTTATAAAATATTTTAATTTAATAATAATGCGGTAAATGGGATTAGAATGTATTAAAATGTTAAATTTATTACCAGTCTCTTACGCATATATACGGTGTGCCAAAAATGGGAACATGATTATCGTTGTTCGTTTTCATTTGTGTACTAAGTTTTCATAACCGAAATTTTTCCAATTTTTTTTATAAGCTTGATACGAACGAAATCTTTTCTACCCACGACCTGCTTTTTTTTCGGAAAAATCACTTCAGAGATATTTTTATTAAAAATTTGGCTACGTAGTAATTATTTATAACACAAAATACTGTTTTTAGAAAATCTAGGCTCACGCTTCAGCTTAAAAATCTAGGAGGCTTTGAAAATGCCTGAAGATGAAAAATCTGAGCCTGTTGAATATGTCTATACATATTAGGGNTTTTTATTAAAAATTTGGCTACGTAGTAATTATTTATAACACAAAATACTGTTTTTAGAAAATCTAGGCTCACGCTTCAGCTTAAAAATCTAGGAGGCTTTGAAAATGCCTGAAGATGAAAAATCTGAGCCTGTTGAATATGTCTATACATATTAGGGAGGCCCAAAAAAGAAACGAATTTTTTTTTCGTGCCTCTCGTGGAAATATGTTAGTTTATCATGTTTTAAGGGCTCCCTCAAAAAATCAGCTCAAAAAAAATTTTTTAGAGGTCGCTCAAGATTTTTAAAAATTTCCAAAATCGTCAAAAAATGATTTAAAAAAAAAATTTTTTTTCTCGTTATTTTATCATTTTCTAGGTTGAAAAAAATCTAGATTCTGAAAATTTCAAATCGATATTTTAATTTCTAAAGGTCACTCATAATTATTTTAACTTTAAAAGTAGTGTACCTAAAATGTTTCCGAGCGACCTCTAAAAATAAATATCAACGAACTAATAATTTTTTTTATTGAATTTGATGAAAAGAATAAAAATAAATCACGACACTTAAAAAATTTCGCGAGGCAAAATTTACTACCGAACTGTGAGTATTGAATATTTACAATTTTTTAATTTTTTAAAATTTAAATAGCAAAAAAAAATCAATTTTTGACGATTTTGGAAATTTTAAAAAATCTTGAGCGACCTCTAAAAAATTTTTTTTTGAGTTGGTTTTTTGAGGGGCCTCTTAAAACATAATAAACTAACATATTTTCACAAGAGACACGAAAAAAAAATATTCGTTTTTTTTTTGGGCCACCGTAATCCATATATAAATTATTTTCGTAATTTTAGTCACAATCTAATATTTTCACAACTTTAGACTCAGTCTTCATAACTGACTAATTTTTAATCTACTGGCATTTCCAAAGCCTTCTAGGTTTTTAAACTGTAGCAAACATATTCTGCATTGAGAAATTTTGTGTTTTCATTTTCAGGTATTTCCAATTTCTTTGCCAGGTTCTTAAAGTGAAATGAAAATTTAAAAAAGTTTGAAATCCGTATGAAAAAAATTTCAGCATCGATAAAATTTGAGATGTAGGGGTGTAAGTGATGCTATTTAAGGATGCAATTAATCATTGCTTAAGATAGACATCTGCAGCTGCAAATTATGATAGCTCTATAATTTATGTCAACTAATGCAACTGCAATAAGAAATATGCTCCAAAATGGAGCAATTTCAGTTGATGATTTTGCAGATATTTCATCTTCATCTTAAAGGATCCAAGAGATGTTTTTTTCAATTCCTTGTTTCCAAAATTGCTTACCGAGTACACTAATGGATTCTAGTACTTGTTACATACGTATTATTACAGGCATATCCACCAAGATCAAATTTTGAGATATAGGAAAATAAAACCTCTTTGTATTTTATAAGATAATTTATTAGTTTCGCTCTATTTAAGTTAACTTCTAATCACACAAAGCTCTTCACCAAGCTTGAACGGCGCCATAAGTGGAAGGAAGGTAACTTCCGTATCCGTAGCTTCCATAACCTCCAATTCCGTAACCTCCCACTCCGTAGTAGCTAGTGGGTGCGAGACCATGAGAGTAGGTCTTGACGACCTGAGGGACCCTAACAACCACTGGTTGTGGTACTCGTACAGCTACTGGGGTAGGCACATCAACAGGAACAGCTTGGGGTACTCCAACTGGCACTGGATGAGGTTCCTGAAGAAATATGAATCCATACATTCGGAAAACAGCGTTCTAAAACAACTCACCCTAACAGCCACAGGTCTTGGTACGTCTACGGCCACTGGTCTGGTCACCTCGACGTTGTAAGGCCTTGGTACTTCGTATGGGGTAGGTACGTTGACTCTTACAGGGACTGGGTGTGGTACGCTGACTGGGTACGCTTTTGGTACGTCGTAAGGTACCTGGACGTGGACAGGGACTGGTACTGGATTGGGAACATCTACTGGTACGGGGTGTGGTACCGATACGGTTTTCGTGACGGTTACAGGGACAGGTTGTGGTACCGCTACTGGCACTTGTTGGGACAAGTGACGTACCTCGTGGGTGTCCTGGACGAGTCCCACTGAACCAACTGTCAAGTAAAATAGAAATAGGTTGTGAGTGTTAGGAATTGAGTTTTGCCCAATTACTTACTTCCATAAGAGTTGGCATAGCCTAAGCCGCTTCCGTAGACTAGTCCTCCAAGTCCGGAGTAAGAAAGGAGGTTTGTGCCTAGGCCGATGTGTTCCAAGCTACGTTTGGAGTTCTTGGCGGCGGGCTTCTTAGCGTTCTCGGCGGCATTGACGGCTGCCAAGGCAAGTAGCGCCAAACACTGGAAGAAACAATAAATCATTGGATTTACAAAATTGACAGGTTACGTTGGAAATGTTGCAAGCAGTCAGAGTTCAGGGTACAACCTGCTCTTAACATTGACAAAACATTAACACAATTTTTTATTAAATATAACAAACATAATAAATTTATGTAAATACATTTAAGGCAAATTTATATTTGTCGAAAGAATAATATAGTTGAGTATCATCAGCTCGAAAGTGTGATTTTTAGTAAGATTGAACTTTGTTGAACTCAGAAGTATAAATCGTGAAATATGAGGACCTAGAACAGATCCTCGTGGCACTCCGCTGTTGACTGGGCAATGACAATACAAATTATTATGTACAGAACATTTTTTTGCCAGTAAATACACTTACAACAGAAAAACTGAATTATTAAAGCCAATATAATGCAGCAACTAACTTATTATTATCAGTAGCTTCTATTATATTATCTATTACTTGCAAAAAAACTGTAATTTGCACGAAATCCTGACTGATCCAAGTGAGATCTTATTTGCTCAAAGGCATATTTTTCAAATAATTTTGGTAGCAAGAGAAGGACGCTTATTGCCCTGAAATATACAGGGTGATTTACAAATGCTGACCAAAAATGAAACCTCGTATTCTTTGGTAAATTTTAAGGGGTCTTTCCTATCATGTTTTTATCTTCGTTAAAAAGATACAGGGTGTTATACTTCAAAAAATATTTTTAATTTTTTTAAATTTAAAAACTAATAGGTAAGTGAAATAATTTGAAATTGGGCCCATATATTTATGTAAATATTGTCCTAAATATGAGTGCTTTTCTTAAAATGTACATGCTCCAGGGGCGGACATATAGGGTATCGGTGGCAAATTTTTCTAAATAGAAGAGTACGCCACTGCTTTACGGTCATCGATCATGATATTTTCGGATTCATCTTTTAATTTTCTACAAATTACTACTCTCTTATGTTTTTCGAAAAGAGCCTGATTTTCGAGTAAAACTTAAAAAAACGAACTGAGAACGCACTTCGATATTCAAATATAATACTTTTTAAAATTAGATAGTGAGCTGCGATAGCAACTTTGATATTCTGAGCAGTTAGAAGAAATAATAAATAATGCTTTACATTAGATTCATGCAACAATACATTTCCAACAAATTACATTTTCGTTACTAAAAAGATGTCGGGTCTCTCTCTGTCCGTGAAAATGGAGGTATTTTTGAGCATTTACTCAAATAAAATCATTGAAATTATGACTAATGTTATTAATTTCGTTATTCGAATAAAAAACCGAATGATTAGTGCTTGTCGTGTCATTTAAGTAAAAGTGTTTTCAGATAGTTTTTTAAGTTTTACTCGAAAATCAGGCTTTTTTAGAAAAACATAAAAGAATAGTAATTTGTAGAACATTGAAAGACGAATCCGAAAATATTATGGTTGTTACCGGAAAGAAGTGGTGTACTAAACTTCTGCAAAAAATTAAGGAAGCAAAAAAAAAATTCGAATTTTTCAGAATGCTGTATCTCAGTTAAAAATAATCGTATCAAGGTTTTAAAAAAAGCATTTTGAAGCGCCGAATGTCTAGTTTCCAGATTTCTTAGCTCAAAATTTTTAGGAGCGACAGTCATCGCGAAATTCTAAGAAATAAGACTAAAAAAAATGTTTTCAATTTTTTGTTTTTTTTTTCTCGGTACACAAAAATCATGATATGGACTTGATAGCCTGTTGTTCATTCAGCTTTAATTTCTTTTTTTAAATTTTTCTCTACGTTAATTTGACCCGGAGATATTCGACTACGAATACAAAAGCATCCTTTTGGCTTTAACCATCGATATCTCAGCAACTAATGATCAGACAGAAAATTGACGAGCAGTTTCGAAATCTCGAATAAATGTCCTACAAGGCTATGTAGCGTTCTTGGAAGAAAAAAAATTTCTTTCATCCTCGACATTAACTTGAAAAAAGTGAAAAAAAGTGACTTTTTGACTTGTTTTGCTAAGTCGACCGCATCTTTGCTAATATCGATGGAGAGTCTAATGCTTGTACGAATTTTTACACCTCGATGTACCCCCAAAAGCTCCGTAAATGGGCAGATCGATCTATCGAACGGTTTTTCCGGACCGCTTAATCAAAATTTCAGAAAAATTTAAAGGAGTAAAATTTACATTTCTGAGCACCCTGTAACGTTCGTAAAAATGATAAATTTGATTTTTTTTCAATTCTTTCACAATTGGGCATTTTTGCTCATTGAATTTGAAAAAAAAAAAATAATTTTTGAAAAAAAAAACTTTTTTTATTTGTACTCTTTCCGTACCGTAATTTCCTTTACTTTGAATTAACAAAATTGTTTAAAAGTTGATACCCCTAAGATTGGTGTAGTCCTCGATCTGCGAAAAAATAGTGCGTATTATCCTAAACTTTCTTACGAAGCTAACAAGTGTGAAAAAACAGTTTTCTTTTTAAACTCTATCTTTGATTCAAAGGAACCAACCAACAGTTTTTCCCAAAACTAACAATATTTTTTGTAATTGTAGTGAAAAAACTTAATCAAAAGTTTTTGTAGATATCAATTTCTTTAATTTTTTTTCTTCTTCTTATTTGGAAACTAGACATTCGGCGCTTTAAAATGCTTTTTTTAAAACCTTGATACGATCATTTTTAACTGAGATACAGCATTCTGAAGAATCACTAAAAATTCGAAAAATTTTTTTGCTCCCTTAATTTTCTGCAGAAGTTTATTTTATTTAGTAAAATATGCCACCGATACCCTGTATCTCCACACTGGAGCATGTAAACTATAGGAAAAGTCCTCAGATTTTGAACAATATTTACATAAATACATGTGCCCAATTTCATATTTTCACTTTTTAAATTATTTAAAAAAACTAAAAATATTTTTTGAAGTTTAACACCCTGTATCTTTTTAACGAAGTGTCCTAGATAAAAACTTTATAGGAAGTACACCCCTTAAAATTAACCAAAGAATACGAGGTTTCATTTTTGGTCACCATTTGTGAATCACCCTGTATAACATCATTTACTTTTGGTCAAAGTGAAGTATTTGGAACTTCCATTGATTTAGAAAGGCTCTCTTATTAACACAAAAATTAATTACATGGCTAAGTATTGGTAATAAATCGGGGCAAAGCCTTAGTATCATTTGAAATTAATTCCATCTAATCGTACCGCACTGGATTTAATTGAAAGATGACTTAAATATATTTCATCTTTTGAAATCAACTGAAATCTAACGGCATCTTTAATTACTCCAGATAAAAATTTATGGTTGTCAAGTCAACTGAAAAATCAGAATTTATAAAATCATTAATAATATTTGTATCGGCACTGGAAGCACTGTTGTTTTGTTTTTGCTACGACATTTTAATTCCTGCCACACATCATCCTTGTCTTTTACACCTTTCCTTTTCTAATTCTATTATTTATTGCTATGTTGACACAATTCTATGTAGTATTATATTTCCCGTTTATAAAATCATGTTCATCATCATCATATCTGTGTGCAAAATGATATTCAAAATAATTTTTTAAGTCGAGTCAGTCATTCGTGCCATGGAATCTAACTGTATAAATTCGTGCATAATTTTTATATTTCTCCTTCGAAAATCTTCACCTTCCTGTTTGCCCTACTGATTGGTTTGTTACATAACATCTCGTTTGAGAAAAAATGCCGACAGAAATTGCAAATTTCACGGAATCATGTCAAACAAATTTACGCCTCAGCGACGCAGGAGTAGCCTATTTAAATATTACCATACATAATGAGGCAAAGTGATGCAATCGTATCCACATAATTTACAGCTCGCTTTAAGGTATTTTTGAATTCCTTCAAATGCAATAATTCATCCGATGGATATCCTCCTCAAAGCTGGCTCGCCTTGATGCCTTCCCAGCAAAAAATATAAGCTTTTAACGCAGTTTTCACGCCGTAGGAAGATAATTTTGACCAGCAGTAGTTTCGGACGCAAATTTGTCGAGGGATGCCTCGTTTTTGCCCTGCACCCTTCCATAATTAAATTTTCTTGTACAGGGTGTCCGTTTAAACTCCTCAGTTCGATATCTCGAAAACAAAGAGAGATATCTATAACATATTCATGTGAGGATGACAATGCTCTTCTTAGCTAAATAGTTGTGTGTTCAAAAATATATTTTCAGGTTTAAATATCTCTAAAAACAATAATTTTCCCAGTTGTCGAACAATCTTTTCGCTTTGCCGCGCCTTCTGTACCGTAACGAAGAGATGTTTCATTTTCCCTCAGAACTGAAGTCATTTATATAAGCTTCACAATAGTTTCTACAGATTCTAGATATCTTTTTTAGTTTTCGAGATATCTATATGGGGAGTTTTAAGCAGGACACTCCATATACGGTGCGTCGCATTTTAAATCGATTGATTTCCAAACAGTTCAGTCAAAAGGGATGTCTACTAAGGTTTATTTTTGGGGTTAAAAATCAAGAAAACTGTGCTAACAATTGTTTGGTAACAGTTTCATAGTTAACATGATTATATTCAACAAAATTTGTCAGAAGGAAGACGAAGAGTAGTTACATTTTGCAGCCAACTAGAAATAGTGTATACAGATCTCGGATATCTTTTTTACTTTTTGAGATATCGGAACGGGGAGTTCTAACTGTAACACCCTGTATGCAGTCTCATTTCAAATAGATTTGTTTTCAAACTGCTTCACCTAAAGGTCTGCTGAAGTTTATTTTAGGGATTAAAAATCAAGAAAGCCGTGTGTGCTAGCAATTGTTTAGTTGTAAGCAACGTGATTATGCCCAACAGAATTCTGTTAAAAAGAATAAGGTGCATTTAGCAGTCAACTCGGATAAAACCGGAAATAGCGTTTTCTTCGGTACAGTTTTTCAATAAATCTCCTGTTTATCTGAAATTAGTTTGCTAACGCGAAATAGTTCGAGACTGTAATTGTTTCCCTTTAAGTAAATCTGATATAATTAACACTTGCTAAGTTTAGAAGAGAAACTGCAAGTTTCTGCATGCATTGTAGGAACAAAAGCACAACGCAAAAGCGTAGTAAGCAAACCATTTACAACGTGAACTATTGTGAAATAGAATTTAGCCTTGTTTGCAATGAACAAAAGCTAGATGTGTCAGTAAGTCCTCATTTATGTAACATGATTTGATACTTAGGGTAATACAGGGTGAAGAGTTTTGCGAATTTTTAATAAAAATCACTTTGTATACTTTTCAAATCGTTGGGTACTTTGATACATTGTAAAGATTTTCTTTGAATTTTCAGTAAAAGCGTTAAAATAATTAGTCTAGGGATGATGTTTATATACTTGTATTGTTTTGTTTATTAAAAATGTTCTTTTTACTGCGATATCTAGTTAGATAAAAAAACCACTAATGATGAAATAAACAGAGAATATATGTTGTGAAAGATGAAAAGTTCTTAACTGCTGAAACCATTTTTTTTCTTAAACAGTTTATGAATGAATGCGATGCCCTGTATATTTTGCATAACTGGAACAGTTACGATGGCACACTGTTATCATTTCTTTCAAAAATATTTATGGATCTGCGTTTCAGAAGAACCTTATCTAATCAGTGAAGAATTTGGAACTGAATCCCATATAAAAGCAATTTGTTACATAACTGATAAATATTATGACACATTTGAAAATTCTGCGCGTCTATTTTGGGACTATTAGTAATACCCTAGCTTTATTAATATTTATTCAAAAAACTCACCAAGATCGTTCTCATTTTAATGCTCTAAAACTACCAAAACTCCGTGCACTGACAGAAATAGCAAGCAGGTTGTCCTTTTATATATCAAAACTCAAAGATACAAAAGCGACGTGAAGGACGCTCAGTGGTGGTCGGTTGAAGCCCGGGTCTTCCTTTTTCGTCGGGTCTTGTCTTTTAACAGGGCGTTAACATTGCTACTTGCGATTTTACAGGAAATTGTTTGTTTTAATTAGTTTTTACAAGCTAGATAGATTAGAGCTAATCAGTTTAACCTTTTCCGTTATAAAATAAATGAATATCGATATATGAAGATTACATGGCCAACTGTGGATTGCGCGTTACTTAAATTTAAACGCTGGCATTTGGTATATGAGCATAAATAAATATGTTAAATGTTTCTAATTTTTTTACTTTTTTGTTTTTTTTTCAGCTAAAGGCAACTTCCAGATCCAATACTGTTTGTAAAATACGCGTTTCTTAAACATTTTTCTTTTAATTGCTTTTTAAGTATGTACGGATTACAGCTGTAGGTTATACGGGCTGTCCCAATATTCTGTGTACCTATGCGAACCTTACACAGGGTGATTCACAAATGGTGACCAAAAGTGAAACCTCGTATTCTTTGGAGATTTTTAAGGGGAGTGTTTCCTATAAAGTTTTTATCTAGGACGCTTCGTTAAAAAGAAACAGGGTGTTAAACTTCAAAAAATATTTTTTTAATTCCTTTAAAAATGAAATAATTTGAAATTGGGCACTCTCTTATTTTTTTTTTTTGAAAACGTAAGAGAGTCTGTAGAAAATTCTGTAATCTGTAGAAAATTAAAAGACGAATCCGAAAATATCATGGTTGTTATCGTAAAGCAGTGGCGTACTATTTTATTTGGAAAAATGTGTCTCCGCCACTGGAACATGTTAATTTTAGCAAAAGCCCTCAGATTTTGGATAATGTGTACAAAAATACATGTGCCCAATTTCATATTATTTCATTTAGATACTAGTTTTTAAATTATTTTAAAAAATTAAAAGTGTAACACCCTGTATGTTTTTAACGAAGCGTCCAAAATAAAAACTTTATAGGAAAGAGTGCCCTTAAAATTTTTCCCAAACTTGCTTCGTTTATAGAGCTGCTAAAAAAAATAAAGTTTTCAAATAAATCTAAAAAGCTTGTGTACATATGTCACCATTCGAAATGGGAAAAATACTGTTTTTTATTAGTTTTGTTTCAAATAGTCCTTTAAATTTTGATTTTTATTGGTTGAATATTTTCAACGACAGAGTAAGTAATAATAGAATGAATAATACCTATATGATATCTTATAAAGAAAAGAACATTTAAGTTTTATGTCAATTTTACGACTAAAATTTTGATGAAAATAGAGAATGTTTCGAAACGTTTGACAAAAATAAACTTATAAAATTTTGTTACAGAAATACCCAATTACATAATAAAGGAAAAAATATTTCTAAGTCTATGCTCATATTTTTTGCAAGTACCAATCAGTTCAGTTTTCAGTTTTTATTTAACCACACAGACAAGGGTTGATTTTGTTTTTTTTTAAGTTTTTAACCGTTTTCGAATAAGCAGTTATTGTAAAACCTATTACCAACACGTTTTGAATATAAATCTTTAAATGTTATAAAAAATGGTTGATTTAATAATAAAAACAAAATAATTGGAATATGTGGAAATAGCTGAATGAAGTGATTTACTGCAGAGATAAATTTAGTTTAAACATTTTACTCTTACTTAAAATCTGTGATAATTTTATATATGTACACTGGATATTACAACACCTGGTATATTTCTTTTAAAGAGGAAGAGCTTGTATTGCTTCCAGAAACACTTTAATGATAACATGCTTTTTTATCAGTTTTACAGTGTCTCATAATTTGTTCGTCAAATTTAATCACTACTTGATTTTACTTTTATAAATAAATAAAAAACATTAAACTTAAACCGGAAATTGTTTTATAAGGGAGCTACTGCCATTTGAAGGTGTGCACCTTATTCAATATCTTTTATTATTTGTAAAAATAAAATCGAATTTTAGATGTACCTACTGTTTTATTAGATGGATGGACAGACAGAATAATGTACAATATAAAGTATTGTATAAGTATAAAAATCTTATACTTTTCTTACAAAAGAAAAGTGCCTTTGTTGAACTTCGACAGGTTGTACCATTTTCGAATAAAATCGAAGTTAAAAGTTCTACAGAAAAATGTTAGCAAATCGGTTATATAAGGTCCTGTAATTAGCCAACCTAGATTGAAAAATAAGATAAGAGGTTTTAATAGACGAGGTTCGAATATACTTTATAGGAGAATTAGATGCTACATATTTTTTTAGAATTATTATTTTTATTTCTGAATGTACAATAATGATGTTGATTCTGAAAAGTCTTTTTAAATCATAAACAGTGGAATTTAATTTTTTATTTTTGAGAAAAGTTGTTACTATCTATATACTGAGTGTACCGAATTACACATGGCAAACTTTATTCCATGTTAGAACTCTACGAAATAAGAAAAAAAAATCAAACAAATATATCATCTGTCAGAAAATGTGTAAATACATTTAATTCCAATTGATGCTTCTAAAAAATTACTTTCATTTTATTCGCAAAAAGGATCTTTTTTAAATTTATTAAACCTTGCACATACACGAATAAATAAAAAATAACTCGAAAACTATTTGTTCCACAAATTAAAAAATATAACAAGTACAATTTTAAACGAATTGCAATCTTTAGAAGCTAAAAATAACTGTTAAATTTTTCAGGGAGTTATTACCCCTCAGAGAATTTTAAGTTTCTACTCGATTTTTTGGAATCTTTATAATTACATTGCATTTAAAATTTAATTAAATTTCTATACATTTCTTTTGTGAAACGAATACTTTTGGAACTATTTTACTTTTGTTTAATTACGTAGGCTCATTGGAAATTTAAAAAAATGGTTACTCAAAAATCGCTTAGAAACATCAACCGGAATTACTTCTCCAATTTCCAAAATATTTGAGTATCAATTCAATTTTTGCCCATAATTAGTAAGTCATTACCCCAAGTTTTATGAACCTACCTTAAATATTTAGACATTTAATTATGATACTTTGTTTAAATTTCAACAATCATCTGAATGAACATTTTTCTTATTTTAAGGCATTCTATCATCAAGTTAAGTTTACTATTTGCAATTCGAGACATCCTGTATCCTGGACTTCTAGATGGAATTAACCGTAAAGAAATTATTCTTTGGGAGAAAATAACATTCAACAGGTATATGACAATAAACAAAATGAGTTCGATTGTTTTTTATTGAATGTAGCTATGAATTTCCTCAAAGCTGCAATTTCTATCATAAAGTAATGGTTTCAGCAAAAAAATTACCATTTCATGTAATATAACCTCAAATATGTCAAAAAATCTCGATTTTGGCATTTTTAGGGTAGGATATCTCGAAAACCAGAGCCAATTGAGAAATTTGGACCCCGGATTCGAATTCAGCGCACCAAAATCCTTTGGGAAAGTATATTCGTGTTGTTGAGCCTGTGTAATTTTCAATTTTACTGAACTTTTATTGCCAACGCAAAAGAAATAAAATTATTCTTCCAAATACAATACTGTATAATAAATGTATAGTTTTTAACGTTAAAATAAAAATATATTCGTAAAAATATAAATTTTTGTCTATTTCAAGTAAAACTTTTGTATATTTCTTTATTGTCATATACTTATGTGGAAGGTCATTGACCAAATGGCCCTTTGTAGTAAACCGTCACTGCTTACGGATGTTATTAGTGTTATAAAGACTTCTATCGCCTTCAGCTTACGTGCCCTTCTGCATACATGGTGCGTATAGAGATATTTTCATCTTTTTTTAGTCCAGTACTCAGTGCACATTGAGTGCAAAAGTGCAAATAAATGGAAATCGCTGTTAATTAGCCCAGTTCGCGCATGCGATTAGAAATCTAAATATCTCGTTAGGTAATGGAACTGTCAACGAGTTTCTACCGCAAAAATTGTTGCTGCCGCCGTCATTATTCTTCATTATGTCAAATTAATTCTCGCTTGCTTTCAACCACAGAATAATGTTTGTTTTCAATACCTGTTTGTTATTATGCGTATTCCCATCAAAATGTGAATAGAATATAAAACAGTCGTATCAATATCAACTCATCTCATATCTGCGAAACTTCCTCGAAGCACCTTGCCCCCAGCGAGGTTGCCGTACTTTTTTTTTAGTATTTATGCAAATTTTTCCTAATTAATTGTTTATTAATTTTACTACCTTGCTGTAATTTGTTGAAAATTTCAACACCAGATTATTTTTCTTTTCGCGTACTTCTGCAAATTATAGTTTTGTGATATCAAGGTGTGCTCAAAGGTCGTGCCGTCAGTGTACAGGGTGTTTCTTTGTTCAGTTCAAAAATACAACAGTTTGCATGGAATTGACTTTTTTATATGTATGTTTTAATACAATATGTAGTAAAAAAACTAAAATTTAGGCTACTGTCTTAACTTTGCAAGTTTTTTTTAAAGATAATTTTTCTGGGTGGCCAAATAAACATAATTTTATTTTTTCTTCATTCATTTTATTTATTATTTATTTTACTTTTAATTAAACTTCCCAATTGTTTTATTTTTGAATTCTCAGTAAATACGTGAAGAATGTTTGTCCTTATACTTAATTATTTTACATTAGAAGACAATTTTTTTGGAAGAGAATATATCTCAAGTATCTTAGATAAGTACGTAGGTATTGTTTACTTAATTAGTCCTCACAGTTAATAAAGTTCTAGATTAATGCAAGCTTGATACGGTTTTCCAGAGTATAAAAACGTATTTGGTAGCCCATTTTTAAATTTGACAAAACATTGAAGGACAAAGGCGTCACTAAAAAGTGTGTAAAATTAAACATACAGTTTGTTTGATTATAAAGGCCCTGAGTTATAATTCGGTTACCGTGTAAAGTATATATGTATATATTTAAATTGGATGTTATTTTCTTTATACACTGAAAGAAATGCGTTTTATTCTTTATTAGAATTCTATATACCATTATAAGACCATTGTATACTATATGTGACAGTTAA